TTGATCTTCGTAGCTTATTGAAGAAGAGTTAAGGAGAGAGTGTGAGAGAGCATTCAAAGGAGGATTCCTACCACTTGAGCGTGGAAGGCTTCGCTTGATGTTCAAAGGTAAGATTTCCTACTTGTGATTTTGAGATTACTTCACTCTTTTCTTTCTTCCTTCTAGATTCTTGTGAGGGAGATCTGTCAAGGAGATCGGGTTCTCTGACCACACTAGGAGAGTGTGAAAGGACGAAGGGTTCTCTGCCCACACTAGGAGAGTATGATAAGGACGAAGGGTTCTCTGCCCACACTAGGAGAGTGTGAAAGGACGAAGGGTTCTCTGCCAACACTAGGGATAGTGTAAAAGGACGACTGGTTCTCTGCCGCATCGGGTAGTTGGTGAAAAGAGATTTGTAAAGGCTTCTCCACCTTGTGTGGGTGCAAAAGGAGAGACACTATTGGTATTAGTGCCAATACTCAGATTGTTGCCTCTGGGGAGTGGATGTAGGTCTGGTTTAGACGAACCACTATAAATCTTGTGTCGTTTATTTTTACTACTTTTTATTTTCTGCATTTTCTTTTGTTTAAAAAGTTGTGGTTGAAAAACTTTTTATAAAAATTAATTAAAGTTTATTTTCGGTTCAACTTATCTAAAAGAAGGATAATTTTTTAAATACCAATTCACCCCCCTCTTGGTAGCTTTGGGACATTAACTTAGGTTTAACAACCTATTCACTAGACTCAACAAATTTTTTGGAGACATTTGAAAATATTTGTAAATAACCCCTCCGATTTAGATTACAACACGGCCATCATTGGGGGTTTGTGATTATTTCTCTTTTGTTGATTGAACCTTGTCAACTCCGCCGAGTTGTTGACCGAGGATAGTGTTTCTCGTAGGCTTTATGTCCCACTGTTGAATGAATCTCTTTTGTTAAAGGCCTTGAAGGCCTAATATGAATGTATTAAATAAATATCCCGGTCAGCATCGTGAACGTATATTTATCCGATGGTTTTAACCTTGTATACTCCTATTTATTTGCTTATGAGGATTGGGTTCCATAGGATTTGTGCCTTTATTTAGTAAATTCTCTTGATTATAGGCCTTGAAGGCCTAATATGAATGTATTAAAACAAATATAAAAGTCGCCACAACCATATTTTTGTTTAAAGGTTCGAACGTTGTCGACTCCTATTGATTCATATAGAATGATTGTGTTCGAATTTGAATTTACTTATCGACCCGCGCAGTATCCCTAGGCATCACATGTGTACCAGTAATACATTCGTTTGGGCCCATACGGGTCGAGATTGTATTTATCCCTTGTGTACCTATGTGTATACAAACTACGGTGAACTTGTACGGGGGCATTTTGAAATAGTTGTAGTTGTGCAGGTAACTGTCATTTGAGTGCACACAACTTTTCATTTGAGAGCTTGTACACGCCTTCTGTCCGCTAGTAGGAGTGTTGCGGATCCGGTGGAAATAATCTGATGACGTGAGGCATCCCATCGTCTTGATGTTGACTCCCCTTTTTTTCATTCACCGGGGAGGGTCTTCTTTGAAGCTCGTGACCATTGCCTTGAAAAGAATCCCTTTTGGGGTCTTTAGTGTAGTAGAGTTGTTACTTCCGGCGTTTGTAGACACCAGAATTGTTTTCTTCCTAAGGATGGGACCAGGAAGAAACTTTGGAACACTAAGAAGTCTCATTCTAATTGTTCAAACGTCTCTTCCATTCCGCCAGGAGGTGTCCTTTTTCGTACATCGAGCTGTCTTTATACCCGATGTGTTCGTAGATCTTGGTCACCGTTGTTGTAGATGACATTTGTACTTGTGCCAACAGTGGTTCGTTATGCTTACGAAGTACCCACTGTTGTTGTCCACAAGTGGCTTATGTTTGCTGGCGAGGGACCGCTGTATCCACTACGACCTTCTAGAGATGTTCGTAGAAGACCCATTGTCCTTATATCACGTCCACCTTTCATCAATCTCAGGTGGGTTTGCTGATTGTCTTTGCTTGTAGGGCGGGTCTTTTACTATCAGGTGACAGTATTGCCTTCTTCAATCAACAAGCACTGTAAGGACTGTCGTAGGAGTTTATGCATCGAGGTCTTGTAGTGTGACTGTTTGTTCCTTGAAATTGGTGATGAAGATGTTGCAATATCCTTCCTAAAACTCGCAGGTGCTCGCATCTGTTGCATCTTAGTCACATTCATTTGCAATGGTTAATGTAAATGCCACACATTATCCCTCGTTCACGCTAAGCTTGATGTCTTCATTCATTCGCCTCTCAATTGAGATGATCGATGCAAGTTAATGCATGCCAAAGCTTGCAACTAACTCATGTACGGGTCCCTTATTCATTCGAGCTTGAATATGAAAAGCTTAAGTCAAACTTGCTTAAAATTCAGCTCAAGTTCAAGTTCTAACTTGTTTCATTTAGATTCAAATATTTCATTACTCATTTGAGCTAACTTTTGTGTCATTTTGAAGTTTGAATTCTATCAAGTCCACAAGCTCGAGTATAGGTCCCCTTCTGTCCAACTCAAGTATTCGCTTGTGTTCAAATTGTTCAAGCCATTAATGTTCGAATCCAGAATACAAGTTCAAGTGGTCTTGTAGATTCAATTACACATTCAAATTGATTTGAATTTCAGTTCTGACTTGGTTTTATTTTATTGGTTCAGGCCTTTATTAATCATTTGAATTTTGTTCAGGTTCAAGTCCACAAGCCCTCTATTCATGTTCATTCGAGTCCAAGTTCTATACTTTCAGTTCAAGTACGAGTCTTTTGTTGTCCTTCGTATTGTTGCTCAAATGATGTCTTCAAATTGTTCAGTCTTTGTACATTTCAGTGAAAATTTCGGCAACACCCTCGGCGTATCCCCCGTTCGGGGAAAAGTAGGGGAGCTGGGCCTTCCCACCACGCTACTCGAGCATGTATGGTAGGTGTCCTTAGACACCATGACCGTACAAATTTTCATGCCACCACGCTACAAGAGCGTGTATGGGACCTTCAGCGATATCCGCACGAGAGCACAAGTGAATCTCCCCACCACGCTACAAGAGCGTGTATAGGACTTACCCACTTCGTCGTATGGGTCGCACTGGGCTTCCTCCTACCGTGCTACTAGAGCGCGTATGGGTGGTTCTCCAGTCTGGCACAAATGTTGAGGATGGAATTTGGAGTTTTAGGAGATTGCCTGCCTCGTCGTAGGCGTCGGACCGGGTTTTCCGCCCACCGTGCTACGAGAGCGCGTATATGGGGTTTGTTGGTCCGTCGCAAACAACGAAAATGAGAACCTGAGTTTTAGAGATCATACCTTCGGGGTCGGCGACAGAGGCTCGTGGATCGAGACGGAAGAGGAGCAATTAATTAATACAATTAATAAAAAAAAATCTAATCTCTCCCTCTCCACTCTCTCTGTTCAGCGGGTTCACGGGATTAGGCCGAAGAGCTTACCAAAGGGAGAAAGTTACCTACACAGCAAGCGGGCTCCTCCTACTTGCTTCCAATCAAAATGTTCTAACTTCTTATCCAACGGGAATGGAAAGTCGTCTGAGGAGTGACGTCGAACAGCCGAAAGGAGCCGGAGGAGTGCGAGAGCGAGGGATCAGGAGAAAGTTATCTTCGCACGAGTGAGCTGCCGTACTGCTTCCGAACAACATGTAGGTATTCCGATTCGACAGGGAAGGAAAGTCGTCGAAGGAGCCAAGGGAATGTGCGATCGGGAGAAAATTAACTTCACAGCGAGCGGGCTCCCTTGTTACTTCCGCCGAAATGTCGTGACTTCCCGTCCGACCGGAAGAGAGAGTCGTCGAAAGGAGCGAAGTCGTCGAGCCACGAAGGAGGAAGCGAAAGCGAGAGAAAAAGGTCTAAGAGGCCGGAGACCTCATTTCCTCTCAATATTTAACGACACGAATGTATCGTGCATGCGACGTGGGGAGATCGTCGCGGTCGTGTCTGAGACATGCGACGTGGTAGAGGCAGAGAGCAAGTATGTTATTTTATTTTGATTTTTTTTGTTTTGATACAGCAAGTCAACAACTTCCGCATCAAAACTCCTAACAATACTTCCATCATTTTACTAATATCCTAAGTTATTCATAAAATACCTAAATCCATCATATTTCCCTTCATACCTCTCTCTTAAGCTCTACACAAAATCTGCCCAAATCCCACTACTCTTTGGAAGATTTTGGTCAATATTGAATCTCTAACTTCTCAAAGCCTTCTAGGCTCAAATCACTTACATTAGGTTCTTACATTTTCTCACATCAAATAAAATTACTCAACTCATAACTGCACACCAAAGTCCCCAATGCACCCTCCATCAAAGAGCAGGTTGATTATCCCAAACCATGCATGCAGCCTTGAATAGAATCAAAATAGTGTAGATAAAAGTGAAATGTGTTCAGAAATACAGTATATTTAAATATCATGGTCTTATTAACTAATTTTGCAGTTTCAAGAAGGCATCTTACACGCGCAATAAACGAAATGATTGGACAGGCCGAAATATTACACCTATATTCCTAAAACCAGCACATGAACAAAAAGATTAAAGAGAAGATATATATATAATTCTCGCAAACCATACCAGAAACATGTAGAGAGAGAGAACCTCCATCCAACAGTGGCGCTGCTGCACTTCTATTTATATTTTCAATTGACACAGCAACTAGCTCAGGGATGTGTTCTACCCCAGCAGCGTGACCGTCTGGCCCAACCATCATTGCAAAGCATGCCGTCAAGCAACCACTCCCTGCAGCGAAAGGCCATTGGAATACTAACATGAGCTCTAGGTAAAATGCTGTTAAATGTTTTTAGGAAAAATGTTTTTAAAATCAATCTATATAGCTCATAGATAGGCCTCTTTTACACTTTAATGCCTACTAATAATTAATTTTCAGGGCATATATAATCATTTCAAGTTGCCTAGTAGTGCAAATAGAAGCAAAGGAGCTAGCATGATTTAAAAAAAAAAGTATTCGTAACTATAGATTCTTCAATAGGCATGAGTGGTGTGACATGCTTAGGGTGCGATTTTACTGCATGTTCTTTTAAGAGTATGAAGCACACTTCCAAAAACTCTAATAGGATGAAAATTGTAATACTCAATATCCGAAGCTTTAAATAAAGTCGTCTAGTATTTTTGGGGAATTGTAGCTTTAATCTTGAATTTCTCACCAAAGGCCTTTAATGAAATATATAATAATAATCTACCAGCCTACAGCTAAATAATATATAGTTACATAGCCTTTAAATATTGCAGAATATTCAAACACATCATATTGAATACTGTCATTGCCAGATTCGAAGTCCTTGATGAAAAAAGTTGAGGACTGCATTAGGTAGACGATAGTCAGCATAAAACTTGTCACATAATCATGATATGAATCATTTAATACATTATGTTAATGCTAGGGTGTTTCCTAGAAGCAATATGTTGTTTTTATTGGAGGAGATTTAAATGGACATGTTCATATATAGATAGAGGATTTTAAAAGAATTCTTGGTGGCTACGAGTTTAAAGCGACTAATAAAGTTGATAAGACTAATTATTTTTGTTGTAGCTTATAATTTTGTAGTTGCTAATATCTTATTTAAGAAAGGAGATGAGCGTCTCATCACTTATAAAAATGAATATAATAAAACTCAAATTGATTATTTTCATATAGAAAATATAAATCGTTTAGATTGCAAACATTGTAAAGCTATTCTTGAGTGAAAATTTATGTATCCAACATCACTTATTATTTTTGGGCTTTAAGATGAAGGGGTAGAATATGAAAAATAAAGTAAAATGTTGTTCTAGAATTAGATGGGAGGTATTTAAATTAAACTAATAAAAATATTTTTGATTTGTCTTTGCATGAAAAAGCTAATGTACATAGGAAAAGCAGCTTGTAATATTAAGAATATTAAAGTATCAAAAGAAAAAACTCATAATAGTAAAAATAGTTGGCGGAATCAAAATATGTAAGAAAAGATAAATAATAAAAAACTTTATTATAAAAATTGGTTTAGATGTAAAAACTATGAAAATTATAAAAAGATATAAAGAGATCTATAAGGAATCTAAGAAAGCAATCTGTGATGCAAAGAATTTTGATATTAATGATTTATATAATAAATTAGATACAAAATAGGGGAAAATATATATATGTATAAGTTAGCCAAATAAATAGATAGGAGTAGTAAGGATTTAGTTCAAGTGAAGTGCATTAAAGATGAAAATCAAAAAGTATTTTTTTTAGAAGAGGATATTTAACAAAGGTTGATGAGATATTTTGCTAAGCATTTTAATGAAGATTGTGAAAATACGATTGACTTTAGTGACCTTAGCACTCTAAATGAAAATAAAGATTTTTGTTTTCATCAACTTATTAGTAAAATTGAAGTTAGAGAAGTTTTAAAGAAAAAGAAATGTGAAAAAACTGTTGGACCTGATGATATTCCAATAGAGGTGTGGAAATGTTTAGGAGATGAAGGAATTTTTTTGCTTACTAAACTTTTTAATATTATTTTAATGACTAAAAAAATGACATATTAGTGGAGAATGAGTGTGTTGATTCTTATTTTTAAGAATAAAGTTGATGCACAAGATTGTGCGAATTATAGACGAATTAAGTTGATGTGTCATACTTTAAAACTATAGGAGAGAGTTTTGGAGCATATGTTATATCGTGATACTAATGTTTCTCAAAATCAATTTGGATTCATGCTGGGTATGTCTATCATGGAAGCTATACATTTATTGAGAGATTTTATGGAGAAATATAGAGAGAATAAGGAGGATTTACATATGATTTTTACTGATTTAGATAAAACATATAATAAAGCTCCAAGAGAAGTCTAAGGAGAGTTCTAGAAAAGAAAGGGGTTAGTTATTTTTATATTCAAGCCATTAAGGATATGCATATAGTAGTTGTTACTTGTGTTCAAAAACAAGGAGGTATGAACAAATATTTTTCTATTACATTTGGATTACATCAAGGATTAGCCTTAAGCCCATATCGTTTTGCTTTAGTCATGGATGTTCTTACTAGACATTTGCAAGAGGATGCACTCTGGTGTATATTTTTTGCTTTATGATATTCTTCTTGTTGATAAGACTAGAAAGCGTTGAAGGTAAACTTCAATTATGGAGGTCAACTTTAGAATTTAAAGGTTTTCGCTTGAGTAGATCTAAAACTGAATACATGGAGTGTAATTTAAGTAGTAATAGATCTAGCAAGGGTTTGTAATTTTAAGCGATCAAGCCATTAATAAAAGTACACATTTTAGATATATTGGGTCTATTGTTCAGAGTGATGGTGAAATAGATGGCAATATTATTAGTAGAATTCAAGTGGGTTGGTGAAGTTGAGGAATGCATCAGGCTTTTTTTGTGATAGAAAAGTACGATTCAAACTTAAGTGAAAATTTTATAAGATGGCGGTGAGACCTGTAATGCTTTATGGCGCAAAATGCTGACCATTAAAAGTGAAGCATAATATTAAGTTAAGTGTTTCAGAGATGAGGATGCTCAGTGGATGAGTGGCTATACTCTTAGAGACAAGATACAAAACGAGTATATACATGAAAAGGTTGGAATAGCTCCGATGCAGATAAAATTAGTGAGGGTTGCCTTTGATGGTTTGGTCACATAAAACGTCAGTCTTCTGATGACCCGGTTAGGAGAGTAGATGAATTAGATTTGACATATGTTAAGAAAGGTAGAGGTAGACCTAAAAAGATTTGGTTAAAAAATATTAAAAATGACATTTTTATTCGATTTAAATCAGAATTTAACTCTTAACAGGATACAATGGAGAAAAATGAATCATGTAGCGAATCGCACATAGTGGGATAAAGGCTTGATGTTGTTATTATTGTTTGAAATATCTAAATTAATCATGTTGCTAGTTTCATATATTCATTGAATGAAAAATATTACCATGTTTATATTTCATATCAATCCACATAAATTCAATAGCAATACTTCGCTAGTTGAATACAAATCTATTCATGGAGATACTTGGATCTTTATGGAATAAGAAAGAGAGAGAGAGAGGGAGAGAGAAAGAGAGGAGGAGGGAGCCTGTGATTTTTATTGCTTAAAATTATAAAACTAGTGATAATAATCTCTATCATAAATATAACCTCTGCAATCCAATTTGTAAGTGAGGTTGAGATACAACCCTATAAGAAGGTTACATAAATAATTGTATAAACCACGTGACTAAAATCTAATAAGAATCTACTACAAAATAGAGGTTGTTAGTAGCAATTATACATTAAATTAAATAAAAATAAAAAATTTCCAACTATGGATTGATCGTCATGATATTTTTGAATGCCTTCTCTTCCTCTATCAACATCAAATTCCTAAACTATTCTAAGATGTTCTTTAGATGGAAATGAATTTATTGGCTTATTGAGCCAATTGCAAATGCAATATCTAGCAGTGTGAGATAATTATATTAGCCTCCCAACTAATGATGGCTTGTGTGTGGGATTAGACTAATCACGGAATGGGTGGATCTACTAAGATGCTTGGGAGAGTTAGGCTATTTTTGATGGAGTTTAATTCTAAGTGGAATTAAGATTGGGAATATTTTTTCAACTTTTGAAGTTTAAAAAGAGATATTTATTTACCTAATTTGGGGCTAAGTAAATGAAGAGTAAGATTTGGGTCCTATGCCTAGGGGAAATGATTGATTGTAGATTTTATGTTTCAACAAATGAGGTAGACTGCATAAGATTTGGTCCCAAGCTCCTAAAATCAATGCCATGAAGTGTTTGGAATTTTAGGAAGTTCCAAAACATCGTGCACAAGAAAGAAAAACTCCTAAAAGAGAGCTCCTATTTTTGGTTTTGAATGTTTTGAATTCATTTGAATAGGGAAGATTCATTCCTACAACTTTTAAGAAATTTTAAGGTCGATTTGATATGATTTAATGAATGCTTGTAGGTGATTTACATTTCAAGAAATTTAGCAATTTAGAGCAATCAAGTCTATGTTTCTCAACTTTGCGAAGTGTTGGACATGAATTTAATCAATCATGCACTTTATGGGTCTTAAAACATAGACCTTAGGAGGTCAATGAAGAGTCTCACAATAGTTTGGGGCTTTCTAAATTGATTAAATTTACCTTCAAGCATTTGCAAAATTTCATGAAAGTTCATAGGCCTCAACATATGCACATTCTTATTATTGTATATAATGTTTATAATGATCTATATTTGAATGAAAAATGCATATAATTTGAATGAGTTGTAAGTTTAAGAACTTTCTCGTGCGTATGTTGTTTATCAGTTCATTTAACCATTAGATTTGAAAACTACATAAATAAGCCTGAATAGTTTCCAAAATGAAATGGAATATCGTCTAAGAACCTTTGAGGGCCCATAATATACTCTCAATTAGCTTCATCAATGCTTGGAATTAAATGGGTATGCTTACACACTCTGCAAATCTTAGTTGAAAAACATATGAGGCTTGGCAAATGACCTATAATATGCATTTTAATTTGGATAGGTGTATGACCACTAAATTTGAATCCAATGACCCACAAAATCTAGGTTTTGTGGTAGGTGACGGACAGAGATGCAATATGAGTGCAAATTCATGCATTTGGAGGTTGTTGGGCACAAATACAATGACTCGATGCTCATCACTTTCTTTTTTCGGCTCACATGAGAGCAAACAAGTGAAAATCATCGCATTTCCACTGTTTTGGCCAGAGAGATTTTTTGGACAACAAAAACTGACTATTTGTTTGGAAGTGTCAAACACATCCACTAAGACTAAGAGACACAAGGTTTGCTATGTTTTAAGGGTTTACCTCGCCGAAACTAGTGTCTAACGGTTCCGGTCATAGCATATTTACCTTGAAGAGGTAAAGGTGACTGTAACGTGCAAGGGTTGTCGTCCAAGCTGCTTTGGATGTTGCCTACGTTGTCACAAGCTCTTCGGAGACAATTTTCTCAAAGAGGAAGAATCCCTTTGCTTACACTTGTATTTCAGTGAGTTTTGGAAGAAAGATTCAAATGGCAATCGGCCTCCCCTTGCTCGACCCTAGCACATGCAAGAGAGCTGCTAGATCTTCCATGGATGCACGAAGAAGGGTCTTTGCGCTCGTCTGCCACTCGATCTTCTTTGGATGTTGAAGGAAGTGAGGGATTTTCTCTCTATTTCTTCAGGCAACAAGTAGAAAAAGACAGGTCATGCCCGGCTCCAAATCGCAGCTCCCAGAAGATCGATTCTACCTTTCTCGGTCTCTCTCTCTCTCACACACATTCGGCTCTCTCTCGTTCCATCCAAGATGCCTACAGGGAGATGGAATGAATGAATAAATGCTCTCCCAATCTTCCTCTCAAAATTTGTTTCCTAAGTATGCATATGAGAGCCCTAATTGAACAACTCCCATAAATGTGGCACACAATGTGTACACTATGTACAAAGTATATGTACACTCACTGTCTGGACGATTGTTCCCATTTGGACTCCGCACAGAATAATTTCTCTTGGTTCAGACAAATTGACCCTCGGCCTACTCTAGCTATATTGAAGATCTTAAAAATCCTGGGATTAGACATGCAACATAGCTATCCAATTTTAAACTAATCAAAGTCGTTGGATTGAATTTCGTTTTTTTCGTTGGATTGAATTTCTTGATTTGGAAGGTCAATTGGATTTAAATTGAATCGATTAGGCTTAAATTGAGTTCGAATCGAGTTCGATTTTGATTGATTTGATTGATTTAATTTGGGTTTAATTTGAATAGATATGGGTTTAATTGAGTTGACCGAACTCAATCGAGCCTAATTGGGTCCGATTCGACTCAATCCGAGTCAAATCAACAAAAAAATTGTATCAATATCTTATGCCATTTTAGCTTCCAACATTACACAACTTTGCGGCTAGCATCATCATCAAGTACTATTGCAATGGAAATTAAATCTACCGGATGATGCCACGTGGGAAAATTTTGCATCACTCTTTTCACCTTTTCCTTCTCTCAAACTTGAGGACAATGTTATTTTCCATGATGACGAGAATGTTAAACAACAACACATTATAATGGATTCCAAAATTATACATTCAAATTGTCAAGCATGGGCTACAAATATGAAAGATCAGCCTACAAGCATTAAAAGTCTACCAAAGAAGAAGAAAGAAAAAAAAACATTTCACATCAACACTATAACAACAACATAGAGTGAACAAATAAAATCATCTAACCAATTGGTATATTCATATGTATTAAGCACAAACTTATTTATTTTATTTTATTTTTAGTTTTTTATTTTGGCAGACTGATTCTATATTGTAAGCATGATCAACCTAATTAGTATAAATACCTCTCTACTGTAAGGAAAGGGTTATGGAATGAAAAATTATGATTTATCTCTTTCCCCTCTTCTTCTCTTGGAGTCTACACCTACTCTAAAGGTGTCCTCCCTTCTTGGATGCCAAGAAGCTTAACAATTACCCACCCACTATTTCACACACCTGCACAATTCTTTTGCTCTTAGTTACATATTTCTGATGCACCTACCATAGAAAACTATGATTATAACCTATATGATACTGATACGCCTTAGGTTTCACAAATTAGGGTTTGCCCTAATTTTCCTTCTAGGATGATATTTCTCCACCAAATCAAAGTTAATCCAAAACAAGAAGAATGAGAGGAAGAACAAAACCCCCTTTGCTCACCCGGACCGGAAGCCCCCCCCTTCCGCCTCCTGTAGACCCGCAAGGGTCTGGGAGCCGGTCCATCAGATACTCCACCACACCTATTCATTAACACACCTACTACTGATTTCTCGACTAATGATTCTTCTCCACCTCCTATCTCATATATTGCTGACTTGGCCAATACAATAAAAAGTGAAGACCCATAGTATGACACACCCCTGATTTTATATCTGATGATCATCCTCTCTCTGGAAAGGATACTATAGCTATAACATGTAAGGTTCACATAGCTGTTGTTCAATCAAACCCACAACCTATTATATTTGTTGCCTCCCTAATTCTAACCATTTTTTTTCCAGATGGTCATATTCGTGAGGCACCTTTCGCTGATCAGGTCTTCCCTTATCAAATTAAATGGGCAGTATTTGTTACAATTCAGCATGTCTTATCATGCCAATACAGCCTATCTAATGTTGCCGACCCCTTCCTTTCAACCACCAACTCAAATAAAACTATTTCAATCACTAAAGTGTGGCCCCCCATATTATTAGCCTCTCACCACAGCAAATGAAAGCCTGAGATCAGCCCTTCCAAGACTAGGTCACAAATATTCATTATGAAATTAAATTTCTACGCACTAGATAGTAAAAAGAATAAATACATGGAACTTCTTTGATTGAATATGAACTAGAAATCGAGTTGCATATTAAATTTGAAAAAAGTGTATCACCATTAAGATACAAGATATTCACCTGAGCCCACATCAAGGGCACGCATGCCTGGCTTAAGATGATCCTTTAACAATTCAAGACAAGTTGCATGCATATGAGGTGCTGATATTGTTGCATTATAACCTATGGGCATCGGGCTATCAGAATATGGTGGGTTGCCATCCGGTACAAATAATCCCCTGTCAATGGTTTCCATCACTTCAGCCACTTTATTTGACTTTAAAGAACCATACTGCAGCAAATGCTCAATGAGTCCTTTGTTCTTTTCAATGGATGACACTGTCCACAAACCCTGTAATAACAACAAATGAAGAGCAAGAATTAATTGCTTTCAAAAAATACAAAATAACATAAGACAGAAAGCATTCCACATACATATAAGCCAAATACACAGTAGATGATAAAAATAGAGCACGGCAAGCAATCAACAGTCTTCTGCACGTTAATTTAACAATAAACTAGTACTTACTAACAACCATAAGAAAACACAGGAACAAAAATAAACAGCACTTACGGACAGTTCAAGAAAGAATAAGAATAAATAAAAAACTGACGGAGACTTGGTCCTTGATTTTACAACAGAAAAAAATATGGCCTCTTAAAGTAAGAAAATGCAGCCCGAAAATATTTCAACGGTGAATATAGAACAATATGGAAAGTATGCATTAAACTTAAGATCATAAAAAAAAAATTGAAACAAAGAAAAGAAGTAAACCGCCTATAACTTCCTACCCTCACTTTTTCCTGATTAATTATTAATCTCCCAATTTCATAACTTCACTCTCAAACAAATCTAGACAATTTGGCACACAGTTCGTCAATCTCAGACAATGTCTCACTTTTATATTATTCTTCCAAAATACTTTTAACAAAAGAAATTGAAAGCCCACAAAGATCTCAAACTTATTGAACCTAATCCTCAAGTATCTCCTTGCAACTCAAGCCTATTCGATAAAACCAACAAAATTAGAAAGATACATAGAAGATTAGCATGATCCTTGAGAAAGGATGAGACACTAAATCGAGAAATGATCCAAATTTTTAACATCAAATAGTATTTCTTTTCACTAAGGTATTGGCACGTTCTTCCCCTCCTGTAGCCACTATCTGGTATGCAATCAGCACTCTTGGCATTGAGCTACATGCTTGCACAGTGCACGATCGTGCCCTTTACAGCCTGCACTCATGATCTATAATTGTGTCACACTTGATGCTTGCAATCAAAATCACGCTTATGTCCCAAGTGCCAACGTTTCCTGGCGTCGGAATCTACCAAACTTTGAGTTCATGGCTATCTTAATCCATCTACTGCCTCAGTGTCCAAGGCAGAGCACTCATTGCTTCAATTTAATTCTGTTATACTCTTGTGGCTCATTAATTGATATTCCTCCACTTTTGTCCAGCATAGTGCCCATCGCTTCCTTTGGCTCCATGTCATTCCTCGGTACCCTCTTAACCTGTGTCATCGGGTTTGGATCTGACTCTGCTTTAGCCGCCTACTACAAAATTTTAACATTGTAATACATCCCCTTTAGCCGTTCTTACAACTAGGGCATCAATTGCTTAGAAATCTTGGTTTGCATACGCTCCTTGTTCTTTTACTGAGGTCATTATGGGAAGTGGCTCCTGGATCTCAACCTAATTCCTCAACTATAACTTTCATATATTTTTAGCAAGATTCAATACCAACTGATGACAAGCTACACTCCATTTTATAGTAAACCTAATCTCATTTTTCCAAATGAAGAGATTAATGAGTTAGCATTTCCGCTTGCTTTCACTATTGTTGCCAAGTTTTCCAGGGATCATCCTAGTCTTGAAATTGCTTGAAGATTTATATATGATTTACAAATTCAAAATTTTTTCATCAGGCTTCTTGAGTTCAGTGTGTTCTTATCAAACTTTCCTTAGAAACTGATGACAAGCTACACTCCATTTTATAGTAAACCTACTCTCATTTTTTCTAATGAAAAGATTAGTGAGTTAGCATTACCTTTTGCATTCACTATTGTTTCCAAGTTTTGAAGGGGTCATCCAAGTCTTGAAATTTTTGTAGATTTATATATGATTTACAAGTAATTCAAAAAATTTTCATCAGGCTTCTTGATTTCAGTGTATTCTTATCAAACTATTCGTATGGAGATCATATTCTGTGAAACTTCTTAAGGAAGCTAAACTCTTAAACATCAAGGGCATTTTAATGTAATGGTAGGAATTTCATTAAAAAACTCCACAGTTGTGGGCTCCGAAAATTCGACCCCGGCCTACACTCGCTTTTTTTTATTCGGCGAGGGAGTTTTAACTAATATCCCCCAAAAAAAAAGTTTCACCCCCAAAAACTCAACAAAAATCCCCCAAATCCAAAAATCCCAAAAAGGAAGGAAACTAACAAAATCTCAAAAATCCAAAAAATATTAAAATTTGAAAATTAAATCCAATTTCAAGCTTTATTTAAAGACAAAAAAGCTCATTCCACCTCCCCGCAACAGTTCTTGTTTGTGTCGGGGGGACAAATTCAATTTACTGTTGCTCCAGACAAAGAGCCAGATGCCTTGTCGAAAAAATCACTAGGATCCATTCTCAAACAATCTCTTGCGAGTAAGTTAAGAACGTAGTGGGTACCGTGTCCTCTAACCGGCAGTTTGCCGTCTCAATCTTTTGGCCACGTTTTTTTCAAAAGGCGGCATGCAGGGAAACGGTTAGATCTGGGGCGGCGGGCCCCCCTCGGCCCTACAGCCCTCCTCTGAAACCAGGGTGTTTCTTTGCGCCAAATGGCATCCACGAAACAAATACCGTTCATGGCCAGCGCCGTTACGTTTCTTCAGGGCATAAATCCTTGAGATATGACAATCAATAGGATATGATTGATAGGGCACAAAGTCCCTGTTAGCTAAGGGTAAAAGGTGTTTTATTGTGTTCTTTTGTTTGGGTATTTGTGTTTTGGACTTGTGTGGATTGGGATTCGAATTTATCCCCTTAGACAAACCATTCAACCCCGGTCTACAAGGGTCCCTTTGACGAAGCAACCAATGAATGCCGACACAGGATCCTTCTGTCAGGTTGGGTCGACTACCTCCTCTGACTAAGGTTAGAACCAGGGACCATGAGTGAGCCCGGACGACGGAAACCAGGAGATTCATTGATCGTCTATCATCCATTCCCCCACCATGGCCGCTTTAAGTTTATAGGTGTTAAATTTCTTATTTTAAAATATCAAAACTTCTTAAATATCTCATTCTTCCAACATCCAAAATTTATCAAACCGTCTTCCAAATATCCAATTTCAAACAAATTCCAAATTCAAATACTCATTGCTGCTACTATATGCTAGATACACGTATTCTCTACGTATCTGATGACGACTAGCCTTAATCGAAAAGTTTCTCTCGTGTGATCGGGAGGGAGGTAATTACTATTAGGGGCTTGCGCCTATAGGAACAGAACTCAGATCATTAAAGTCCTCGCAGAAATGAGGGGCGAAATCTTTCTGGGGTCAGTGTCTTATCTACAAACCCATCTGCTTTCCAAATTACTACGGAACCTTAATC